ACACATATGAACGTATATTAGAGAACGGAAGTAAGAAAAGGAAGTTTTTTCAGGGAAAAATACAGTTCATAGTTTAAATCCGTATGGTAGAGAATTTGGAAAAAACCATAAAAGCAAAACAGAGTGATTTTTTATTGGGTATTTTACCTTTTATTATAATATAAAGGTTTATAATATTTTCTTATTATTTAAAGAATAAATTTTTTTTCTACTAAAAAACTTCTACTACAAAACCCAAAAGGGCATTTAAAACTATCTACAATGAGGGGCATTACAAGGGGTAAGGTAAAATTTTTCACGTATGTTAGCTAAAAAAAAGAAAAACATTCCCCTCCCTTCTTTACTACATTCATCAGACACCTTTTGGCACTCTTCTTTAACTGGTTCACGCTATGACTGGCTTTGACATGTGCGGGAAGTCTGTTCCATTCCTTTATTGCTGTACAATAAAAGGTGTTTGAAGCCTGGCCACTGACTGTGGGTACTACAAAGTTGTGCTCTCTCCCCCTAGTACTATGATTGCTTTGGTTCCCAACCTTGACAAAATTGACAGCAAGATATTCTGGACATTGTTTGTGAGCAATTTTATAAACATGATATTGCTTCAGTTGTTTTACTCTGTCTTCAACATTCAGCATATCCAACTGCTGTAATTCATCCTGGCCTACATGTTCTCTTGGTCCCAGCCCCAGGATGAATCTTACGATTTTGTTCTGGGTGATTTGCAGTCTTTCAGTTTTTTTGTCAAGGCAGAGTACTGGCTAACTCATGCTGTATTTGAGGCAAATCTGAATTGGTAGTTACAAATGATACTTTAGGATTTCTCAATACCTGTCATGTATGAAGGGAATAACGACATTCAGGTTGATCATCTGACTGAGTATCAGGAAGAGAGTACAGGATCAGGAGGATTGTCAGTCCTTTTGCCTGTTCACTCTGTCACATCTGTATAGGTTGTAACCTGGGATCCATATTTCGTTGTCCAAGTGATCCTTTATGTGGGTCTCGGTGAGAAGCCGCAAACATTGCCTTTGCCTCTGCAAGCAGTCCACGGATGAAAGGTATTTTGTTGTTTGTTGCTGGCTTTAGACCCTGTATATTTGCAAAGAATGTTATCGGACTGGTGGTATTGTTGGTACTGGGGGGGGATTTTTTTTCCGGCATTAGTATCTGTATCTGTTGGTTTGGAGTGGAGGCCATCGGTTGTGGTTCCACTCCAAATTCAAAGTTTATTCTCTATAAGGATTACAATGCTGAGTTTACAGAAATTTGGTTATTGTGTGGTTTACATGTTGTAAAATAGTGATTACAGAGTGTACCACTAGAACGCTTAGCATGGCTAGGCATTTCGGGCAGACTTAGTTTTATTCTTAATAGTAAAATATTACAAATTATGAGGTAAGTTGGTATTATGGCTAAGTGACTAAATACTAGTTTGTGAGTTTAGCTATGTGAATGCTTTTGTTTTGGCACAGTACATAGTTTCAGTATTGGAGTATCACAGGATTCATTATTTTAAGATTGAGATTAATATTTCAGTTTATGGTCAAATGAGCGAGTGAGTGTGTGAACCACCAGGTGGTACTCGTGTAGTTAGTTGACAGGGTGTATCAGGGAGATAAGATGTTTTCTAATGGTAATTTTGAACGTGATGAATGTGTCTGCAGTTCTAGAGTTCTCAGGTAGGGTATTCCAGATTTTAGGGCCCTTGACATACATTGAATTTTTGTAAAGGTTTAGTCGGACACGGGGAATGTCGTAGAGATGTTTGTGTCTGGTGTTATGCCTGTGGGTTCTGTCACAACTATCAAGAAAGCATTTTAGGTCAAGGTTGATATTAGAGTTTAGGGCCCTGTAGATATAGATTGCACAGTAGTAAGTGTGGATGTACTGAACAGGGAGTAAGTTTAGGTCTATGAAGAGTGGGGGGTGTGTTGCCAGGGATGGGATTTAGTGATTATTCTTACTGCAGCTTTTTGTTGGGTTATTATTGGCTTTAGGTGTGTTGCTGCAGTTGATCCCCAAGCACAAATAGCATAGGTGAGGTATGGATAAATAAGCGAGTGGTATAGTGTGAGAAGGGCATTTTGCGGCACGTAGTATCGTATCTTGGAGAGGATCCCAACCGTATTGGATACTTTTTTGGTTATATGCTGGATATGGGTGCTGAAATTCAGGTTGTTGTCAAGGTATAAGCCTAGGAATTTGCCCCCATTATTTCTGGTAATTAGCGTGTTGTCAATCTTAATGTTAATTTGTGCATCTCCTGCTCTGCTACCAAACATAATATAGTTGGTTTTGTCAGTGTTAAGCGTAAGTTTATTGGCTGTCATCCAAGTCGATATTTTAATCAGCTCCTCATTCACAATGGTGTTGAGGGTGGCAAGATTAGGGTGAGAGATGACATAAGTCGTGTCGTCAGCAAAGAGAATGGGTTTCAGGTGTTGGGATACATTTGGAAGGTCATTGATGTATATGAGGAAGAGCAGGGGACCAAGGACACTTCCCTGCGGAACTCCAGTATCAATTGGCCGTGTTGCTGATGCTGTGTCTTTAATGGTGACATACTGATACCTGTTAGTAATGCAAGATTTGAAATAAGCAAGTGCATGGCCTCTTTTACCGTAATGATCAAGTTTGTGGAGTAGGATGTCGTGGTCTACTGTGTCGAAAGCTTTTCTTTAAGGTCAAAAAAAATTCCTAGGGGATATTCCTTATTTTCCAATCCCTGTGAAACAGCAGATCTGCATTTTTATGTTTGCATTCTTTAGTGTTTTTTATTTTTCCTGAACCCCAAATTGGCGGGGGTTTTGAGCATTTTTTTGAGCCGTTAAAAATGAAAAACGGGCTCCGTGCAATTTTTGGGGGCGGGATGGCCAAATCGCCAGAAAATTTCTAAAACTGTTTGTGGTGTAGGAAATCACCTTTCGAAACTTATAACCGATGTCCTGCTTTTTAAAAAAAACTGGGAGGGGGACTTCTGGGCTGTAAAAAGTTAAACAAGCCCTTTTTGCTAGGGTATCTTCTCCCCCCAATGGGCGGGAAAAAACCTAAGTGTCTCCCTTGGGGTTTGGGGGAGATCTTGGATTTCCGGGCCTGTTAAAGAATGTCAGTGCCCACATGTCGGGAAAAATTTTGTTGAACTTTTTCCGGGGGGAAATTTTTGCCTGGGCCCTCCCTCCTGGGTACATTAGTGTGGTGGGAGGGGGGGGGGGGGTAGGAGGTGGGGGGGGGAAAAGGGGCTAAGGAAGGGGGGTGGACTGTCGTGTTCCCGGGGGGTTGCTCTGCTTGTTGAGTTCGTGGCTGGGGGGGTCCCTCCACCTGTGGGGAAAGCTCGGGGGTCGAGGGTTTCCCATCTGTGGTGTTCTTGGCTGGGGGCGCCCCCACCGGAGGGGGAAGTCTGGGCCCTCAAGGGGGAGCCCAAAGCCTGGGTTTCCCTTTTGCAGTTTGTCGGGGGGTGTGCACCCTTTAATGGTTCTTTAGCCTTTTTGGATGGGAATGCCTCAAAAAACAGCCTTCTTTTTTGCACCTAAAAAACGCAGGTTTTTTTTAGTTCAGGGGGCTCCATTTCACCAAAATCTTTTCCCGGGGACATCTGTGTAAGGGAGGGATTTCCCAGGAGATGTTAAAATCCAACAAAAACCCCCATACGAGTGTGAGAGAATGATAACGCCCGTTTTGTGGTCAGGAGGTTTTCGCAAACAGGGGGCCCTGTTGAAGGTTGGTCCACGGGGATGCCCCCCGCTTGCCCAGGGGGCAGTTTTTTTTTAAAAACCTAAAAGGAAACCTTGGGGGGGGGAAGCGGATGGTTACCATCTCTTTGGGGGTTTTTACAATCCCCATCCTCGGGCTGGGGGGGGGATGTTCAACAGCCAACCATCATTCCCCCACTGGCAAAAGGGTGTAGTCAGCGGGCAGCATCGCCTTCTCCGCGGGGCCCAAAAGGGGGGGGATTCCCAGCCCCCCCGGTTCCCCAGGGCCCGAGGGGGAAATGCCAGCCACAATCATTCCCACGGGCCCGTTTGGGGGACTCGGCAGAAATCAGCATGCTATTCTCTGGGACGGGAGCCAATTTCCCAAAAGAAACCAAAAATTTTCCCAAGGGGGTTGTCCATCGCTGTCGGGGGAACCCCTCACTGCTGGAACCGTCCTCTCTCCTGTCGTGGCCCCAATCGCCTTTTCGGGGGGCCCCCTTTGTTGCTAAAAACCATCCCGGGTCGTTTGCTCATTTTTTGGAGACCAAAACGGGGTTATCCTCCTTTGGGGCTTTCGTCACCATCTGGGGTCATGTTGTCTTTTTTCCCAGTGGTAGGGGAAATCTCCCGGGTATTTACTATTTACTGCAAAAAAAAGTGTGCTTTTAAAGGGGAAGAGAAAATGCACACCCACCCTCCCCCAAAGGTCTGCTGTGTTTAATAATTGAATTTTTTTTGTACTAAATTTGGGTTTTCTGAACAACTCATCACAAATGTTACCAGCCCCTTAATTTATAAAAAAGTTTTTATTAACACTAACTCCATTGCCTATCCCAAAATTTGGGGGCCCCGGTTTCCCTTATCCATTTGTTTTAAGTTTTTTAATTTCTCTCCACTGGATTGGTAAGGAAGCATAAAAACCCTCTTGACACAATTAAAATTTTTAAAGAACTCTTAGGGAAAAAAAAACTGTCTTTAAGGAGGCCCCCTACAAATCCTTTTTTTACCCAAAATGCACTGTAATTTTAAGATAAACCCAGTGGGATTTTAAAACATGTATATGAAAATCAAGAGCCAATCGAGGGGTTCGTGTATGCAAAAGGCATCCAGTAATAGATGGGAAGTGCTACCCCAAAGGGACCTGTTTTCCCCCTCCCCAATGGGGGAAAATTTGGCACTGGGAAAATTTCCGGGGGTTTCCCGTTGGGGTTTCCCGTTAAAGCCAGGGAAAGGGAAAATTTACTTTATGGGTGAAAACTGCTTCATATTTTAATTTGATTTTGGGTTTAGTTTTTTTTTTCCCCAAGGGGGTGGGCCAATCCCGGGGGTACTGCAATAAAACCGGGGCCCATTCCGCGGCCCAAAAGGGGGAGCAAGCCCCCAGCACTTCGCCATGTCCAAAAAACAGTTTAATATCGAAACCCACCTGGGGGATCGTATCAGATATTAACTGATAAAAAACAGATAACCAAAACTTTTTACTTAGCCAAAAGGCCGAAAAAGCGATAAAAAGGGAAAATGCAAACCGGGAAAAAATTTAAAAACGTTTGGAAAAGGAGTTTTTTTCTTGACAAAGTTCGGTTTTTTAAAGGCATGCCGTTTTTTAAAAAGGGGGAAAATACTGGAAATTCGGGATGGATATAAAAATTTTTCCCCATTACTAGATTGAAAAAAATATAAATTTGAATAGGAAGCTAAACTGGACAGGTAAATTTCTCCCCCCCCCCCCATATATAATAATGATTAGGGAAAGGTGGGCCCCCTATTTTAAACCCGGTACTGCTTCCCCTTTTCTTTGAAAAGGACATCCCCAGCACAAAAGTGGGCCCCCCCCCCTTTCCTACGCAATAATGGTAATCATTTAAATATAGGGGGAAATTTACCTTTTTAAAGGTTTTTTTCCTTTCTATTTTAATTTTTTGCAATTCCCCAGCTTTTAATAAATTGGAAAAAAGTTTTTTTGTGGGATTCTAAATTTTCTGTAGTTTTCCCCCCGTACATTAAATTCCATTCAAATTTAAAAAATTTTTTTTTGCCCAAAAAAGTACAGATATTAAAGAGATTCCCTTAGCATGTGGTCCGAGAATTTCCCGTATTACCAAAAAATTCCTATGTTCAATTTTCCCCCGACAAACTCACTAATTTTTTTTTCCCCCCAATAGACTTTCTTTCACCCGTTAAATATAACAAATACAAAACTTTTTAAAATACTGTAATTTCATTTTAGAACCCGCATGGACCCAAAATTAAAAAAATCTTTAAAAAATCTGAATTTTTATATGCTTGGGGAAGTGTAAAAAAAATTTAAACCTGGGGAAAAGGGGAAAAATTCAGGAATGAAGGTAGGTAGCAAATTTCTGGGGGTCTTTTTTTTTTTTTTATTTTAAATTTAAAAACAAAGCCAAAAAACAATTGATATAAAAAAACCCGAAAAAGATTAATACACAAGAATCCAACCAGTGCCCCCCAACAAGGTCGTCAAATACCTGCCCAAAAAATTTAAAATTCCCCAAAAACAATGTAACACTAAGTTTAACCAAAAACTTCCAAAAACCAAAGGCACCCTGTTTTTTTTAGGGAGGAGGGGCCTAAACCCAGCCTTGGGGGAGCCCAAAAGGGGGGCATTTTGTCCCCCTTGGGGGGATTGGCCCGAACCCCAAAAGGGGGCCACGGTGGGGACCCTTGGGGAAAAGGGCCCAAAGAAAAGGAATAAATTTTAAAAAAAATTAAGGGGCCCCCCAACACCCCCCCTAAAGGGGGGGAGGGGGCCCGGGCCAAACCATTAAAAGGCCCCCGGGGGCCCGGGGATCCGGCGAATCCCTTTTAATAAAGTCGGCCCCCAAAGGGCCCAGCTTTTGGCTAGGGGCCGGGGGCAGTTTTTTCCCCCCCAAATGAGGAGGACCCTTTTTCCTCCTTTCCCCTGGGAGACTTAGGTCTCAGAACCCCCCTAAAGGGGGGGCCAAGGGCCGGGGCCCAACCCCTTGGAAAAGGGGGCCCCGGGGGGGGGGAATACCCCGGTAATCTTTAATAAAATTTAAAAATTTGTTGGTCCCCAAAGAATCCGGCCCCCCCTTATGGGAGGGTTAAAAGGCCCCAGCCCCCCTTTAAAAACCCAAAACCGGCCCCCATTAAAACCCCCCCTTGGGGGGGGATGGAAAACCAAGAGGGAGCTTGTGGCTAGGCCCGGGACAGTTG